ATTTACGCTATTATGTGTGTGTGTGTGTGTGTGTGTGTGTGTGTGTGTGTGTGTGTGTGTGATAAAAGGAGGCGTCTGGCACCACGGCAGGGACCAGGAGGTGAACTGGGACCTCTCCAAGTAGCAGTCCACACTCCATATTTTTTAAGTCTGTTCAGGGACTTGAACCAGCGACCCTACGGCTCACAGTCCACTGACTGAGACAGACCATTTCAACTATAGGATCCAAAGTAGAGTGCTAAACCCATGCTATATGATAGTATTGTGTCGTTCTTTGACTCTCCCTCTCCTAACTTGACAGAGAAACTTGAATAAAAACAGTTTTAGCATCAATATAAAATATGTCTTAGAGATGGATTTATGACCTCTCAATCTTTCTAACTAAGAGCAACATGCAGTAACAATAGAGTGTATGTTTGAGTACACTGGAAGGATTTATGTTTTCTCTTAGTTTTTTACGATGGTATCAAATTAGTATCGAGAATAGTAATTTCAGTAATATCGACTAACGTTCTAGTTATGTTTTTAAGGAGAGCAGCGAGGTGGAAGAGATCTGCTTTTGGTCCTTTTCTTTCATCGGTACGGATCCGTTGAAACAGGCCTATATTGGCCCAGCTAATTGACGACTTCCAGGTGGGGATCATTAGGACCCTGAAGTCTTTGTGTAAACGAACCTGCAGCTCCGCCTCTCATTGTCTCCGTTCATTGTCCAAATGTCTTCACGGTCCGGCGAGCTCATGACTCAGCGTCAACTCTCAGAGGAGCTGAAGTGTGAGGGCTAACGGGTCTGAAAGCATGCCAGCTGACACACACACACACACACACACACACACACACACACACACACACACACACACACACACACACACACACACACACACACACACACACACACACACACACACCAAACAGTTCCGTATCTTCAAGGACACATCGACATGGTGACTGCACATGCTGGGATCGAACCAACAACCTTCTGGTTTGGAGGCGACCGCACTCCCTCACAGCCACAGTCGCCCTCCAAGTGACTTAAAATACTCCTCAGAAAAACATGGTTTGGGTTCAAAGAAGCTAAACAGGTGAAACTGATGCAGCGTCAGGTGAGAACACGTCAGGTGAGAACACGTCAGGTGAGAACACGTCAGTCATTCACTGTAGGGCTCAGGCGCAGTTGTTGTTTGACCTATCGACCCCATCCCACCTTAAGGGTCTGTTGCTATCTAATAATTATGATGTTAGGTTTACGTTGGAGTCAATGTGAGGCATGCTGCTTTTTACATACTGTAGAGGTTAACACCAAATTGTCATTACATTCTGAAGTGGGGTGTGGTTTAACTTTGTGTGAGAGAGTATCAAATCAAATCAAAGTTTATTTATAAACTATTATGGTCGGGCCAAAGTGCTGTACATGTAATAAATACTACAATCACTTAAAAACACATTCATAATAAAAGACAATAAATGACAACAGATAATAAAAAACACAGGGAAAAGTCAGGAGTCGTGCTCCGCAGACAACCAGTCACACTATGAATGTAACAAACTTCTTTCCAAACCTGAACCACAGTAAAGAGACATGACATATCGCCTGGTCAAAGAAAGACGTTGGTGTTACAGAAGACAGGGCCGCCCCTCGCTGCAGGCAGACCACGCAGAGTGTGGGGCCTCACCCTACGAGCAAATGCAGCGCAATTATGCGCTCCACAGTTTGCTCGCACAGTTCACGAGCGTGCTCCACTAGCACCCCCTCCCTCATGACACAACTTTGCGTAGGGCCACAAGTTGGCTCGATGTGATCATCGACTGGATAAATAACAGTTGGATTATTCAGCCAGAGTTGTCGAAGAGTTTGTAAACAGATATACTTTAAATCATTACATGTCACTTGTTAGACGTGTAGACTCAATACAGTGGGCAGGAGTCTTGCCCAACGACGTGCTGACTGCAGTGGGGATCGAACCAGTGCTCCTGATCTGAAGATGAACGCGCTATCCCATTGAGCCACAGCTTTCATCAAAACAGAGTTTTCTTCAAATAATTGAAGATATGAGTGAGCAATTGTTAAACAAAGGCTCTTTTTATGGTTCCTCCATAAAGCCATTATCCTAATATAACTAATTTATTCCTTCACAATAAAAGCCCCCCTCCCTCGGCCAAAATAAGAACTACTTTTGTGATGAAAGTATGGGCAATGTCATTTTTCAAGAACTAAATATGCATACAAACAGAACATATATGGACATTTGAAGGCAGCATGCTGGACGTTTTTTCCGTTTTTCACTAATTGAACAGATTACAAAATGTAAACAACAGTTGAAGCATAATTCAAAATAAAGAGTACAACTTTTGTAAAGCACATGAAAACACATTTCTGAAGCAAAACTATTATTATTTATTAACATTAGTTTTAGTAGCATTTTTATTTTTTTGTTAATAATATTATCTGCCGATGAAATGATACCAAAGCTTTGGGGTTTTAAAGAAAATGTTAAACTCCACATTTCTTTTTCAATCTCTTTTTTACCATCCTATGAACCCAATGTTTTGAATGTGAAAATAAAATAAAAAGAGTCTGAAAAGGTTCTCACCTGGGAGGCAGAAGAGCAGCAGGTAAACCGTGGATATGCTGCAGAGGAGCTTCATGGCTCCGATAGCTCGTACTGATCCGGTGAATAGCGGTTCGATCACAGAGAGTACCGAGCAGCTGCTGAGCAGAGAGCAACTGAGAGGGAGTTTGTGCTGTAGTGCGGTGGTCGCCGAGTATGAGGGGTTATTAGTGCCACACTCAGGCTGGACACTGGGGGGGGGGGGG